TAGGCCTGCCCGCTCTTGGCCGCATCGCGCACTCTGTCGCCGGATGCATGTTTCGTCGTCGTATGTTTGATGGGTGTTGGGTGAATCTTTGGACATAAATTGCGATGGATTGAGCTCGGATCGGCCCTGTTTCTGATCTGTTGAATGGATCGGGGGTCGCATCGCGTCGATGCTCAAGTTTCTTGGTAAATCGGAGCATAATTGAGCATCGGGCGGTGGGAGAAAGGATGGAGCGCGCGCGGATTCTGCATTTGTGACGAGACCGAGGGGCGGAGGCAGGCTGCTTTCTGAGTGAGTACACCGTCGCTGCGTGAGTGAGGGAGTGAGAGAGCGAGGGAGGATCGGGCGAGGAGTGCCGGGAGAGGAAAGTGAAGATGAGAAGCAATTGGCTGCTTTTTAAAGACTCTCGGCAGAGGCGAGAGTCTTGATGAATTGTCGTACGAGAAGGAAGGCTTTGAGGTAGGTAGAGCTGAGGAGCGTGTGGATTGAGTTTGGTCTGGCGATTGTAGCTCATTGCGATCGATCGTCGGTCGTGGGTCCTGTCGTGCCGAGCGGATTGTGATTCTGGTCTCGTTGGTGGTTTGATTGCCAGGGTGTTTAGAGTGGAGGTGAAAACGCTCTCGAATTGGAGAGACTTCGACTTTGCGCCAGGGTGCAGGGAAGCTGGAGAAACACATCCGAGCTCGAGATTTATGCTAGGGATTATCCACTTATCGAATAAGGTGATAAAAAATTTACTCTGGCAGCAAAATTAGACCAGCGAGGCTCGCGGGTCTAATTCTGGGAGAAATCTGGTACCGGTTAACCGGTCCCGACGGTTAACCGGTTAACCGTCGGTCCGGACCGTGGCCAAGCCTATTCGAGCGAATGTTCCTCCGCTTGCTCGCCACTTGAACCGAGCGTTTCGCTTCCTTTGCAGTACAGTAGTTGAGGGGCGTGCGGTTCAGGGCCTTCCTTTTGCTTATCCTCTTTAATTATGCATATGGAACTTTTAATCTCCCTGGAATGATTAGCTTCTACTGATGATCACATATGCTCCTAATGATTTCAATCTTGTAATGCTCGGTGACGGAGAGTTATTTACAGGCTTTCATGCTGTGTATATTAACTGTTTCATATACATGGTGAAATTTGGATTGAAATCTGTAAACACATGTGATGTATTGGTATCTATTTGCGTTCGGAGCCCGAGGAAAACAGTAAATCTAATCCAGAAAAACGCTTTAATTTTCATAATTGGTCACGTGGATATGATACAGATTGAAATTTCTAGTCTTTCTCGAGTATTCTTGGAGGATTTTGCTCAATACAAGCCTTGGATTCCACTTCTGAGTTTTGAAATACATCACAATACATTATAACGGGTGTGGTTAAGTCGTTCAAATTGAGCAAGTGCAGTTTGGTTTGAGTGAATGGATTTCTTTGCTTTACGGCCAGATATTACTTTGTGTTGTGTGTAGTGACAAGGTTACTAACTTCATTTGGATAGTAGAGGATTGCGACTTCTGTCTATGGAGGAGAAAGATGAAGTTTGTGACTGATATACTAATGAGAAAAGTGGTAGGAATACAGAGATAGTTGAATATTGCAATGATACAGTTTGATCGTTAAATAGTTGCAGAGATGACGATAGAAATAGTGTCACAATATCGATGTTAATTTTAATTGCAAAGGTGGCAGTGCATGTCCATATTTCAATGTAACAAATGACAGTTTACAAATCAGAATATGAATTTCTCCTTTTGAATTATCTCGAGACAGCTGTAGCTGATCTGAAGATGGACAGTAGTGGTAGTACCAGGTTTATGAAGGGGACAACATGCTAATGCAAAACAATGGAAGACACATCAAACAATATAAGGTGAAATAATAACACTAAGACTAGATCTGAACAGTACCATAATGAGATTAATGTCCACGAATGAGATAGTTATAACTGAAAAAGTAAAAAAAATTGTAGAATAAAAAAAAGGAGGAATGAGATAAATATGATTGAGAATAAATTTCAATAAATTATGATAGAAGCAAAATAAATAAATAACCCATACACAAATATTTTACACTTCAGATCTGTGATTTGCTTGAACTTTTGCTTCAATTGTAAAATGCAAAGAAATCAAGAATAAATATGTAACAGATAATATTGCAAAAGATTATAAGAAAATCATTTACATAAATTGAAAGCATTAAAAATTAAGTTATTTTACTTTCAGTCTAGCATTTTAGTACTTTTTTCAAACAAATTGAAGTCCAACAAAGTATGTTTACCTCCTATGTGAAATGTTATTTATACATATACTAAAAAATATTTTTGATTGAGTCCATTAACATAATGGATGTTTCATATTTGTAAGATCACGACCACAAGAATACAAAATCACAATGCTGAAAACTCTTTTTGTCTTTTAGAGAGCTTTAGTTAGCTTTTTTTTATTGAGATTCTTTAAATACAAAATACATAGTGTGACAACAAAATTTTTTAAAACACATTGAATCATCCCTAGATTTTATACTTGATATAATAATTATTATATAATATATATAATTTTCTTAATAATTATACAGAGTATAAATTATTCTTATGAAAAATTTCCAAATTTATTGATGTTAGCAAAATTGGACAACAAGAAATTCATAAGATCTTTTTGAGGCTAAAATATTCAAACATATAAATGCAATTGGAAATGTATAACATAATCAAGTACAACCTATCAATGGCAAAAATTTGAAATTGTAGTGCATTAAAATGAGTACAGTATATGTACAATTTCAATTACCAAAAAATTTAGATTGTACATGTACTGTACTCATTTTATCACATTTTTTCATTTATGTCCAGTATAGGAATTGAATGGTTTTTTAAACTGAAAATCTGCATGGTTAATACGTGCAAAATTTAACAATTTTGATTGTGCAATTTCATAAATTTTATTAAAAATGCATAAATCTATATATCTATATGTATATCAGGTTGAATGTAGTATAATTTAATCTGGATGGAAAAGATAATTACAAATGATTATATTTTGATGGATTTGCAATAATATTTATAGTATATATTATCAAAATTTTATTGGATCTGTGATGCAAATATCACACATATAAAATAAAGATGAGTTTGTATAAAGATTAACAAAATGCCTAAAATTCTAACAAAGCCAAGTTTTTTCTTACAATCATTTGTGAGTACATAAAACTGGCACAATTTTAAATATACTTTTTAGAAAACTCTATGTTAACAGTTCTTTGACAATATTTTATATAATTTTATCTTTATCATTATGTTAGATGTGAAAACACTTGAGTTGTGCAATAATAAATGCATTCATAAGAAAGTATATATGTCTAAACTTTGTTCTATTGTAGTGTGCATAATTCATTCAATCTAATCTTTTGTTCAAAAACTTGAAATTTGATCATTTTTATTACATTTCACATGAAATCAATGAGTTTCATAATTGTTATAATTTTACGTTAGTAGAAACATAAACCATGTTACCTTATATATAAAATATTTTGAAAATTGATACAAATTACAGCAAAAGTATAATTAGCATCATCTTGAAGTTCAAAATACTAAATTTCACTCTTTCAATTATGAAACATGATATTTATCAAATTTATACTTTGAGAGTAAAGTTTTACTCTTGAACTGTTCCAACTAACTAGATAACATGAGATGATTTCATATTTAAGACATATGTAAAATATTGATACAAAATATCAAATCTAATGTTTCATATTATCATTTTATAGAAAAAATTATTTTACAAAAGTACGATCAATACAAAATCAATGAGCATAATCTACGTAAACAAGTTTCAACATTATGTATAAATATTACAATCAAAGTCTTCAATCCATAAATTGATGCAGAAAGTATATTCTGCATTGATATATGCATCAACATCATGTAAAATATTATTTGTGTTATGTACAAATTGATTATGTTAGGATAATTAAAAGACATTAGCAAATACACAATCAATTTAAAATCTTGTTCAATTTATGTAATGAACAACATAAGAAAGATATTGAATGTATACTAAAGAATCCATCAAAATACAATCACATTCTAAAATGGTATCAAGCATAAAAAAATTCAAGAACTAATAAAATAGTTTTTAAAAAATTATTCAATATGCAAGGTTTGAAATTCTCACAACTTTTGATTCTCAAACTCGGTATCAAATCTTCAAAATGATTTTCAAGATTGTAATGTATGTATTAAATATGTGCACAATCCTCAGATTATATTTATGTTAATTTTAATTCAAAAAACTTACATGTTCATATTTTTTTAACATATACATTCTTATAATTTCATAATTAAAACTACAATTGAGTATCATCAATTGCATGTTTCAATTTATGTTTTGAGTAATTTGATAATAATTCTATTTTTTTATTAACTAATTCATATACTAAGAAAAATAAATCAATATCATATTTTTGTCAATAAAAATTATTATAAATTCCATATTCTAATATTTTATATCTTACTAAATTTTTGAATAAAACAATCTACAAGCTGGTTTTCCATGTTAAGTGTCGAAGTATTTTATTAATTTACAAAAATGAATTATTATTTTTTCACATGCTTCATCACATAAATAAAAATAAACATACAAAACTTAACTCTAGATGAGTCAGATTATAGACAATGAATGACATAATAATATCTTTTTTCACATAACATTTCTGTTATTATTCAAAGAGATTTAAAACAAACTCACAAAGAAAAGCTTTGGTACAATGATTGTTACACTGCACACGAATATGTGAAACTTTCCATCAATGAGTCTATACGATGAGAGATTTTTAAAATCATGTAGTGATCTACAATACATATTCGTTAATCAAAGAAACAGGCAGAAGTATTGAATGATTATTTTAGAAAGACTAATACTTGATGATTGTCAAGACTCTTTCCTTCAAATCAAGGATATAACTTTGCAGTTTACTTGATGAATGTTCTTTGTTTCGTTTAAAACCAGCACGAAAGGCAACTTCTCTATTTTACATGAATCTAAATAATTCAACAAACAATCCAAATTTTTGTGTTTATTGTATCTATTGCTACTAATGCCCGTGTTCGAACCCTGTATTTGGAGATCTGAAGTAAAAGATTATTGAATAGATAGATGTAGCATTAAACCTAATCATATCAATCATTGTACATGCTGAATATATCAGCCAGGAAAGTGAATACCATAATTCTTCATTGTTGCTATTGTGATGTCTGAATTTGTAAATGAACAAATTCTTCCAGGTAAGATCAGACATTCACTTTCACCACAGCCTGCACCGTGACAACGCGAGATTCACACCAACAGCTAAATCTCGCCAATACTGGATGGGTAAGAACATCGCAAGAAACAAAAGAGACAACCACATTTACCCAGGCTCAAAGCTCAAGCTCAGTCAGATAAGACTATTGTACAACACAATTTGTCTTTTAACTCGCGGCCGAGAATGTGAGTTTCGCTGCTCAATAAATTATGTGACGTATCTCAGACATGTAATCTACTCTTGAGAATATTCATCCCAAAATAGTACAGAATGAAGAGTAATACATGAAGATGAAGAACTAAATAACTGCTGCTTTGGGCTGAAAAGTCGAACTCGGGCATATCCAAAGTTAAGAAAGTGGCAAGAGGCGATATATTGGGACGACAACAGATCTGACACGAGTAGGACTCGTTTTTGGCACAGACGCTTTAGTTCAACAGAGTTTTGATTATCGACTTCACGTTGAGCCTTTTCAAGTCCGTGTATGTTTGGCCGCAGCCTACAAACACAACAGGCGCTCCTGAAATGTAAACCATGGAAAGAGCAGCACCAACCTGAACACAAAGAACACAAACCCAAATTAGGATTGATTTCAAATTTCATGAACTCACAAACTGTCCCGAAAACATTACGTCAAAAAAATGGAACAAGGGGATCCAAACACGACCCTTCAGTGAAATTTGGTTTGCCTCCATCACCCATTAGTTATCCTGCATAGTTCCACGTCTCATTGTACCATTTCTCTTGTAGAAGATCTAATGATATTGAAGTCATGAAGCCATAAAACGCCTAACTCACATCAACAGCGAAACGTACAACAACTCTAAGACCAAATACACCAAACCCAAAACCAATTGCAACAAACCTTGTCATCAATCGTATCAAACTTGGTGAGGAGAATTCCATCGATCAAACGTGGAAGAGTGGTTGTCGCCATATCGGCCAGACTCTGAGAAACAACACATCGACACAACTTGGAACGATGAGCTCGGACACCTTAAACGACCGAAATCCAAACTCGGAAAGCAGACTCTCTTCTAGTTGAGATTCCATGAAACAAAGTAGACATACTGCACATTCAAGGACATAGCTGATATATTGCCTAAGCCTCTAGAAACGCCTGATAAGGAGGCTGTCCGTTTGCTTTGAAAACAAATTGAGAGAAGACAATAAAATTCCAGGTCTAGACTGGGGCTAGAAAAACACACTGTATTCTTCACAACCAATACTCTCGCTGTAAATAATCTCTGTGCGGTACATATAGCGATTGTGGTTTTACTCTCTTCAGAAAGAATACCTCATTTTGCACATATGACATCAACGAGCCGGGAAATTAAAATAGATAAAAACTTTACCTGATTGAACTTCATGAGCTGGTCTACTCCATCATTACCCACAAGAGCTTCGCCAACAAACAAGACCAAGTCGGGTTCATTGACATTGATGAGTTTGGAGAGAGCTCTCATCAGAGGCTCGTTGTCCTGATGAAAAAATGAACACACCAAAGTTAGTGAATCAGAGAACCAGAAGCTTCATGGCTGAAATCAAACAACAAGCAAGAAGAATACATTATTCTGATTCAACTTGAATGGTCAAGAAGGCCTTTCAAGTCCTTCCCCAATTGAAGCAAGAATAAGAGTATTGTAAAAAGCCCATTCAAAAAGAAGGTAAGCACCTGCATACGGCCAGCAGTATCAACCAAGACCACATCTTGCTTCGTTCGACAAGCTTCACGTATGGCTTCTTTGGCGACAACAGCTGGATCCTTCTCATACCCTCTCTCGAAGATAGGAATCTGAAATTTAACAATCCGTCAGTTGTATGGTACAAGCACCCTTCAGGAAGGTTGACTAATCTACCATAATGTAGTAAATTGGTGAAGCTTGCTAGTCTTCTACGTTTTCATAAAATTTAGGTGTAGCTCAATTGTAAATTGTCATGATTGCCCCACATATACAGTACATTAAAATAACGATGGGACCCATTGTGTGGCAGCAGAGACGAGCATTCCTGTTTAATCCTGTTCCGTTTGTTTACTGACCTGTAGTCTACGAGCATGCGTGCGAAGTTGTTCTACAGCACCAGATCTGAAAGTATCACACGCAGCCATCATGACACTCACTCCATGCTGCTGGAGCCAGTATGCGACCTGCCAAACCATCCAGATCAAGTAAGTTCACAGTAATCGGTGTTTCTTAAACTTGGAGTACAACTTACGACGAGATGGCAACGTCAATGTAGAATAATAAAGATACTAGCGGAGTACCTTGGCTAGATTGGTTGACTTTCCGACACCATTGACCCCGACGAACACAATCACAAATGGTCGACCTTGTTCCTTGGCTGCTTGGACGTCCCGTAGTATGTCGACAGACCTCTTGGGGGTCAATATGCGCAAGAGTGCTTCTTCCATTGCTGCCTGAAAGAGCCGTCGGCAATCATTTGCATCAACACATCAGATAACCAAATCATTGACGAGACAAATTCAAATTGAAGACACAGGGTGATTTTAATAAAACGACGACGACACTTGCATCGCAGTAACAGGAAAAATGCTCAGATCAAAGCATCACATACCCGCACAGTTGAAGTAATCCTTGTAAACGATCCGAGTTTCTTGCCCACGAGACTGGCAGCGACAGATTCACAGAGTTTCTCTGCAATCTCTTCTGCAACATTCTTGGTCATGAGCCCGTCCTTCAGCACCTTCAAAGCGGGCTCCAAATCGCCCTTCTCCAGGGAGCTTTTGCCGGCTACACTCTGGACTAGGGTTGAAAACCAGCCTTTCTTACCCGTGGATGCCTTTTCGACCAACTCCTCATCGGACTCTTCATCACTTGACGAGCTGTTTTCCTCCGCGTCCATCATACTTGTCCCATGATCGATTTTCACAGCGGCGTTGTCCTCCAGTTGTTGATCCGAACCATTTGTATAGTCTAGTTTAGAGGGAGGAGGAGCGTCTCCCCAAACCCTATTCTTCTTCGGCTTCTTCTTGGATTCCTCTTCTTTAGAGGGTTTAGGGGGTTCAGAGACCCCCTTTTTGCTGCTCCCTTTCAACCTCAATTTCTGCAACTTATTTACATCAAAGGCCACCTCGCTTGCCTTCCTATTGCCAATATCATCGTCGCTGCTGGTGCTGCTTTCACTTGGGTGTCCGTTCGCAGTCCCGTTAGCAACTCCATTGGCTTTTCCATTACTCAGGCCCTTCCCGTTTGCATTGACCTGACCGGAGCCTTTGCCAACCCTGTAAGTTCCATTCGAGTCTGCATCATCCTCATCCCCAACGCTACTTACCTTCGCACCGCTGGACTTTTTACCTTTCACTTGCGACTGATCGGACAGCTTCTTTCCTGCAGCACCTTTCTTCACCACACCGAAATTGGCCGTTTGCTTATTTCTTTTCATCTCTTCGGCTCTCGCTTCAGCTTCCTTCAGGAGCTGTCGAAACGTGTCATCAAAATCAGGGCTGTAGGATGTGCGATCCTCGCTGTAAATAGCCGAGAATTTCTTCTTCACCAAACTCAACAATTCGTCCACATACAGTAAATGAAGCATGCGCTGATACACCGCAACAAAAACGAGCCCGAGCTCGTTGTGAAAAGTCCACTTCAGGGTATACGACGCTCCAGAAACATCGTACTGGAACGCGGAATCACCCGCTCGCTCCTCCAACAGACAGGACCTAATCAAGGCGTCAATCGGCGATCCCTTCAACGCGTTGCCGAGCTCCTGGCATGTCCACAGCACCAATCCACCCCTCGTGAAAATCAACAACTGTTCCAACATCGTGACTCCCCTCCGAACTACAACGCGATCGCTTCTTTTCTTCCTTCCTTACGCTCTCTCTCTCTCTCACTCTCCCTCTCTCTCTCTCTATCGCTCTTTCTCTTCCTCTTCCTCGTCACAGCAACAGCAGCAGCGCCCTCTGTCCTTCCCCTCTCTCTCTCTCTCTCCCCTTCGCTCTCGAGAGATTTCTTCGGCCACGGTCCCGTCACCTCTGACCGCCTGATCGCGTTGAGGCATATATAGTGAACTGATCCGGCCGTCCGTCAGTCCGTCCGGCCGGCCGTCCGTCCTTTGACCCGCGTTCAAACAGCCGGCCACCACCACCACGTGGTGTGCACGACTTGGTCATCCATCTTCCTCCGGAGTTCAGTCTTCTGTTTTTTGGGCTGACCGCGGCTGCGGTGACGTACTCGAATCGTGCCGGCTCGACCATACTGCGGTAGGGGACGCCGGGTTCAGGTTGGGCGCGGTGGTAGTTCGCGTCGGGAGGTCCGGTGAACTGCGCGGAGGGTTCGTTCTCTAGGCGCGTAATTGCCGATTGGCTGGAATGTCCGTCGGGCACCAGCGGGGCTTCGCCTCCTCCCTCCATCACCCGATCGATGATCCTTGCGGTCGACGCCTTCCTTCGTCTGGCCAAAAGCTCATTGATTTCCTCTGGCTGCCTCTGGCAATAGACTGTCCCCAGACCTGTCTAGAAGTGAAAACGAGAAAGAAACGCCAGTAAAGTGAAGCGCGCAGTCAAAGACGCCAGCTACATAAAACTCATGTTTCCATTCAAATTTCTAAACAAGATATGCCATTTAACAGATTATCCGTTTCTACAACTTTGATTCTTGCAGTGGATCTTGCTGATCCACTGTTGACGATCTGAAGAAACAGGATGAACTAGTAAAACTCCCCAAACTGTCTACACGACGAATGTTGGCAACTATCGAAATCTAGAATTGAAAGGGAAGCTCCTCTGTAACAATAGGTAAATGGTAAATAGATCAACCCCGAGGGACCCAAAGGGTCAAAAGGCTAAAAAACACAATACAAACAATCCAACTCCAAACTAGGAGTGGAGTAGGAGTGTAGTGTTATAGCGTAAAACTCACAACCATCTCAACCCTCGATCTTAAGCTCATCTGTAATTTCCAAAAAAACCTTAGCAATTTCCGCTTTTGCGATATTCCGCAGCCATGTAAGATCTTCTGGACCTGGTTCTTTGTTTGTTTCTGCATTGAGTAGACAATATTCGCTTTTTCGTACAACAATTGTTGTTCAGGAAAATTGAGTCTGAATTGTTGAGCGAAGAGCGATAGATTGCCTGAGTCATAACTGGACGAAATTGATGTGAAACATGAAGAGTTTGCATTTCGCTGATTTATGGTGAGGCTGGGCTTGAATTTTTTCTCCCTCTTTGACTTCTACGCCACAAATCTCTCTTTCCTTCACAAATCTCGTGCATGCTGCTCATTTCCTTGCCGCTCACGTGAACTCTTCTCCGTCCCTCTCGTTATGACTCCCGGCATTTCTTCCAGGAATTCTGTCTACCTTGTCTCTACCATCTCTCGCAGTTTTCTCCCGCGAGCTTTTCCAGTACTACAGAGACATCATCTATTCGTTTGACAAAAGGCTCAACAGACGATTGTCCCCTGTACCAATAGCGCGAAAATCACAGAGATACGACAATGAACAATCTGTGATACTGAAAGCGCTCCTCCACTTCTTTCTGGGACAACCTTCGCCCGCAAGCTAAAGTCGATGCACTGAATTTACTGTCTGATCGATTCGAGAATTTCGTATTCGAAGTACTTTAGAGTGACCAAAGAAGAGTGGTCGAGTCGAGAGGCAGAACTACGTAAGATCCTGTGGTGCCGGATCGTGGTCACACGAACGAACTACGATTTGTTCCGTCCTTCACATTCACAAGGCCGGAAAATATATATATATTTTTTTATATATATAATTTAAGAATAATGTATGTTATGTTATTATATGTTATGTTGTATGTTATGATATATGTTATTTGCGAAATAGTTTAGCGTCGTGGTTCCTTGAATTTGACATAAAAAGTGCTTCAATTCCATGGATCGACAAATTGATTCAGTGGGTTTTTTCTTCTATTTTGCTCTCGCCCGGAAAAGGTCTTGACTGTTTTTTACTCGGGCCGCAAGTGGGCCTCTATGCGACTCCACGTTCCAATTTTTTATGACCGTCGTCGTCTTTGGGCTCGTGGCTCGGATTGCCTCCTCCAAACTGCCCTGAGGACACTCATTTCAAATAGCAGCGTCTTAAGGGCCACAACATCTTAACCCTCGGCTCGGGCTGGATTTTTGGTTTTTCTTGGTCGGCCTTTGCTTCTCCCATGGGAATGAGTGTTTGCGAATGAATGAGTGGGCTTCAATCGACGCATCTATCCCAAACCAAAACTATTTGTTTGGAATATTTTTGCCCCAAAGTTAGGCACGCGTGCGTAAGGAAAATCAACACTTTCCGAATATTTTTACTGACTTGTTTGAAAAATCAAACGTCAAAAACATCAAAAAGTTCGTAGTTTTCTTTCCTCTGCGCTGAAACATTGACGCCAACAATTTCTGTCAGCAAATTTCGTGGTGCATACATGTGTATTCTTACATACATGCATATTTTGTGAGTGTCTTATCGCAAACACTCATTCCCATGAATAAATCACTGAGTGTTGGTAAAACGCTCACATTGAGAAACAAATGTAAAATCCAGTCTTACAAACCCATAATTACTCTGGCCTCAAAATCAAAACCATTATGGAACTAAAATATGTCCAATTCAGCATATTGATAGAGGCTTTTGATCACTTCTGGCCTACACAACTCCCACTATACTTCTTCGCTCTATGTCGCATCATCAACCACTACAGATAGGAAGTTTTGTCTTAAGTATGTCTACTCAATCAATGCTAATGAGATAATTTGCACAAACATACATAATAAAACCATAGAATTTTTTTGAGCTTAATATCAAAACTTTTATAACAAAGCTCACTATATATGAAAACATCCTTCTCAAATCCTCACCTACTCATAAGAATAGCGTGATTCGCGAAAAAAATCTCCTAACATTTATCATGAAAAATTCCAAAATATATATTATCGTAGTCAAATACTTCTAAAAATAACATTATTTCAAGTACATCCATTTAAAGAAACCAGTTATTCTGATTTTTTTATGATTTGTCAACTATGAAGATGTTTGGATAAGTTTTGTTCAATTCTGTTCACTTTATGTTTTTTAATGTACGATTCTTATAAAACAAACAAGGTAAAAAGGTGTAAATAGATTAGAATTCAAATAAAATGTTATAATTTCGAAAATCAAATTTGTGTACTTTTTTCAAAATATTATTAAAATTTTAAAGTTCAAAATTCACACATTTTGAAAAAAAAATCAAATAAATTGATTACATAGTGAAGAAAAAAGGTTTTTCATTTTCGAAAAAAAAATCATGATAAAAAAATTTAACCAAATAAATCAGAGTGTATCATTTAATCATACATGAAAAGAAAATTGATATTTTAGATATTATATATATACACATATGTAAACATATATTTATGGCAATTTCAAGATTTTATATATTGTTTGATCATATTTAATAGGTTTTATATTTTTTACACCTTAAGTATGTGGAGATTCAGGTATATATTTGTATTTAATGAATCATTAAAGCTATATCAACACATAAATTATCATTAGAGTTAATACAAACAGATTGATTATCTTTGAATAAGATTCAAAGAATTGTAAAGCATTTTTGTAGTATTTCTAGTTTACAAGTTTAAGTTTCTAATATTTTCAAAAACTCAAAAACTCTCAGAACAAGATAAATAGAAAGAAGTATTGAAGATTATCGACATATGAGTATATTGATGAAATTTGGAAATTTGACATCAATTATATTTACACAAGAACTGAACGTAAGTAACTTGAAATGATTCATGTCCAAGATTTCGTCTGAACGCTATCATGTCACACATGTTCAACATTTACATTCAAAAGAAAATTGAGAATAATATTTTCATCATAGAACAATATTAACATATAGTTGCAATAAACATCGTTGAGGGGTATCTTTGAAAATTATTTAGTTCAATGAAGTCCAAAACGTATGTTTGTGAAAGTTTATTACAATCACACGTGTGAGTCGGAAGACATGTATTTCTCATATTCAACAACATTTTGATTTGGGTAGAATACATGAATTATATATTATTATAGATCATTCATTACAGCAATAATATTAGAAATGTAATCGATTTTTTTTTATACTTGTGAAATTGTCTATTTTTTCATCTATATGAAAATAATAATAATTAAAAAACTAAATAATTAAAAAGTAAATTTATACGTAATATTTTTAATATTACAGAATCATAAATATTAATGTAATATATTAGCTAAAAAATTAAAATTTAGATTTAATACTCATAAAACATCAAAAACAGTAATAAATTGATGTTATGCATTCATTGTTTTATTATTAAAAAAATTGAAAATAATTTGAATAAAATATTAAAATTATAAATCTAATTATTATTGTTAAGCTTATAATTAATTTTGAAATCATAAGATTTATAAGATTTGTTTAAATATTTATAAATTAATACTTAAGCACGACTTGGTCATCTTCATCCATCCATAATTAAACCTTAAACATGCCAGCGATTTCGAATCCTTGAATTTCAAGCGATTGTATAAAGCAACGACTCTCCCAAACGCCAAATTAACAGCACTCAACGTTTCCTCAGGAAGAGAGAACCACGCATCCGGCTTCGGACAAAACTTTTATCAACGAAAAGGGCCGTATTTCTCTACCCTCGCAACATCACCTCCTGGTCAAATCTCGATATCTCGGCAACGAATGGTGTGGTTCAGTAAGTATAACCAAGCGCCCACGACACGAGTTTTCGCCTGCGACTAAGAATCGGCAATCTGAGCCCTCGTCGACCCACCTCGATAAAGATCGACTGATACTCATGGCGCACTCGACAGGCCTTACCACGACCGACGCAGATTCACAAACTCAAGGGCTTGCGGGAAATTTCGACTGGTGGATGCGAGCACGGGCATTTTAAAGATCGCCGAAAAATCCGAATTCAGATTTACGCAAGATAGCTAAAGTACGTTTAACCACCAAGAGCAACTTCGACGCAATCGCGCGTCCAGACTAATCAGGTCTTAGGAGCTTTGATAATGACACGTCTGCACTGACACGTGAGCGTGGATTCGTGGCGCGCCTCCGCGCTTGGCACAGAAGCGAGGGCCTGGGAGGGAGGAATGGAATAATTAGGTTGTGCTGAGCGCTGGAGGGGCTATGGTCTTTGATGGGATGGTGTACCGACTGCTACGGTGTCGAGAACACGTGGCTGCGTGGTCTGCCACCTGTGCTGGCGAAACCACGCGTCATGCTTCCGGAGAGTTTTGTCAACGTGGGGCGTCCGTCGTGGCAGGGGTGTATTAGTCGACACATGAATTGTGCACACTGTCTCCGTTCCTGCGACACTCTGCCGTTGTGCGTCGAAGAGATGGAAGATGCATCGAGAAAGAAATTGGAGGAGATCGTGCCCGACAGAAAATTGAAGGCACCTCTACAAGGCAGTACCGAAGAACCTCAGGCTGGACGATTATCCGATTCCACGAAGCTGGAGAAGAGCGCGCAGACGAGATCGAGCAGTTTGCGAAGATCCAGAATAGAAGAGAAGTGAAGCGCAACGGAGCGGACATTTAGCAAGTCCAGGAGTTAATCTTTCGATTTCAGACGAGAAGGTACAGAACTAGCGCACGTCAACATGTGTTCGTTTGATTCTCATCATCTCGTTCATGATCGGCCACGAGAGAGGAACCCGCATTTACTTTCGTGACGTTCCTCCATCTAGATTCTACGACATTGCGAAAGCCCGAGACTTTTTAGTTGTGAGAAACGGTGTTCGTCCTGCAAGTAAAATTATAATTTTAGTTTTACTTCTAGCTTTGAACACGTTGAAGTTTGTAGGCATGATCGTGCAGAACAAAATGCCTCTAGGAAATAGAACTTTGCTGAATCTTGATCTCGACCGGGATACGTCGTTGTTCTCGTTTAATGTCTGCTCGCAACAAATTAGCACAGCACTCGCTGCGGACTGACTGGAAGTGATTAGCTCTCTCGTGGGCCTTAAATTCTGCTGAGAAATACCCGATGGCACCAATTAAGTTTAACGCTCGCAGCATTGATTGAAAGATCTCGTTTGAACTGTGATGGCAGCAGAATGGAGGTGGAACTCCCGACCGGAGGCACGGGTGCACAAACTCCGGGCAACCTCTTTGGTAAGCAGGTCCTGGCAGGTGGCATTGCCGGAATGCTGGCGGATGCTGTCATGTACCCAATGATGACGGTGAAATCTCGACTGCAGGTGAGCTATATGTCTGTCACCGGTCTTGCACACAGCCAACATAGGAGAAGTTTTGGTCGTTGTTTCTCTCTCCATTAATCTCGTACCCAGATCGTCAAGAATGTAGCTAGCATATGTGAAACAGAAAATGTCGATAAAGTTTCGGCTTTCTTGAGCCTGTAGGTAGTTTTCTTGTCTAGCAGAAACTTTTCAAGATACCGTGGTGGTTACGGCACGCGATTCTTGTGACAGAAAAAGAGTTTAATATGATGAGGTACTTCCACTCGACCTCAGGTACAAGGAGGAGCAACAGCAGGAGGTGGTGGTGGAGCTGCCTCCATGTACATGTACCGAGGTCCTATGCATGCCATATACAGCATATCTGCAAAAGAAGGATGGCGGACGCTTTACAAGGGATACGCAACCGTAGGCCAAATTGCTCCTGCACAAGCTTTGTACATGGCTACCTACCAAACCTCGAAAAAAGTTCTACCTGGTGTGTAACATTACTCTGTCCGTCCTGATTCCGATCTTCACGGCTTTAGATGTAAACGTCGCTCCAGCGTTGCACAGCTGCTCTTGGTGTTGAGAGTGTTAGCGGTCGAAGTTGTTCTCTAGTCGGGACTTGATGTCAGTGGTAATGTCGCAGGTGGTGAAGAAAATCCTCTGGTGCATTTTTGTGGAGGCGTTATAGCTACGTTAGTTCAGTCTTCAGTTATGGTGCCCACGGAAGTGATTAGGCAACGGCAAATGGTCCAAACTACAGGTGGAGAAGGTGCTTACACGGTAAGCAACGAAGAGTCCTTTCTGGTTTCTATGTGTAGTGAAACACGAGTATAGAGGAATGTTGGAATATCTGACAGTCAAGTTGTTGCACGTAAACTTTGACCATAGACCATGTCTGGGCTGACCGAGAGGTAATTGTGTGATCGTTATGTTGTTCCTGGCAGGGTTCCTTGCACGCAGCCAGAACAATATATCAGTTGGAAGGGGCTGCGGCTCTATATAGAGGGTTTTTGCTAGCTCAGATGGTATGGGGACCGTACAATGCAATCTATTTACCTCTTTGGGAAGCTTCGAAAAAAGTTGCTGTTAAATTCTCAGAAGCTGAGTCGAAGGAAAAACTGGCAGTGCAATACGAACTAGGAAGTGCATTCTTTAGTGCGTCCATCGCATCCGCTCTCACCAATCCCGCTGTAAGTGTTTATCCACCTCCATCAATTCCAACTTCCAGATCGCTGTACATTCCCTTGCTGCGTACGATAATGAATGACGATCGGTGCTTGATGGACTCGTTTGCAGGATATTATAAAGACTAGGCTCCAAGTACAAGGGAAAAGTAATGTGAACAGTAGCACTCATTACAACGGAGCGCTTGACGCTGCTCGATCTATCTATCGCAAGGAAGGAGTACGAGGTTTTACGAAGGGGATGTCTTCTAGAGTTTTGTGGGTTGCACCTTCAGCTACGATTATGTTCACGACTTATGACCAATTGATGAAAAGGTTCAACAGAATGTGGTGAACTTGATCCAATTTCCATGTAATATAGTGATTGTGTTATCAAATACACAGTAGTGGTCCTGTAAAACTATGCTTCTTTCCATATTACGTGGGCACTCTTCTTGTTTAGCTTTCAGGCAGTACACTTAATCTAGACAACTAGGTTTTCTCCATTTTCAAATTTCAGGCAATACATTTAATCTAGACAACTAGGTTTTCTCCATTTTCAAATTCTCCAGCTTCACGTAGTGAGGTGAAATATTTTCCAACCATGCCATGTAAAGCCAAGCCGAGATTTTAAAATTTTTTTAATGAGGCGAGAATATACTATCAATGAAATCATCGTATTTATTTTTCAGAGCACGCAGTCAGACCTGATACGATGATGATAGATAAATTCAATACACATCACTCTCGTGACATCACTCATATCTTCAGTAAGGTACGAACACTCACCAATCTAGTTACCTCAAATCATAAACATATTACCTAACTACCTGATAATTTACCTGCACGTAAATTTTGTTGCACACATATCCTCCCAAGAAAAGTGCCCAATGACTAATACCTAATACATATAAATATATCGAAACCTGAATACTTGACCATCTTCCACTATAGCTTCAACATCTCATCGCCACGCCACCATCCATAAATACCGAGAAAGTCAAAAACAATCTAACCGTACGTTTCCGTCTACCTTCGCATACAGACTGCTGTGATATCATATTATTATCAATCCTTAGCACATGTAACTTGACTAAACAAATACTCGACTTTCATTAACAAAATATATATTATGTTTACCATACACACAAATCTTCATCACCTCTTACGGCTTTATATACACGAGGTACCTCTCAAGGTGAACAACTTTCCACAGAGAAGATACTACATCCCCAAACTATCGTCGACCTCACCTCTCCATCGTAACATGCACTATCTGTAATACTCGAAATTTTATAGATCACATTCCTGAGAGGGCTGTCTATACGGTACTGTGTTGCATCTGATCACCAATAGGCCCCGACACAATCAGCTCTATTTCCACCTTCAATATATTGCTTGCAATGGATCACTCGTATTTAGAGACTGGGATGCTTGCGAGGGAGTTAACCCTGAAACATGACATAACTAGAGCTTCAAACTAAATGATAAAGCAATTGGCTGCAGCTTGCATTCATGACATGGCCCGAATGCTGTCGACGTTGTGGAAGTTCTATGATCAGTTACAAGGAGGAAGACTCGCCATCCAAGCAAACCCAGTCACGATCAGTTCATGTGGTTGGCGAAAAATATTAACCGAGGCATTACCTTACTGCAACATCTTGCGAGGCAGATTTTCCTCCAAAATGCTTGCCACATTCACCTTCAAGTCACCGTTTAGAGCCTGCGAGAGATGGTGGTTAGAACTTGGGGGCATGCACTGTTCAAACTAGCTATGTATGTTATATGAGTGGACTTGAGATTTCATACTTCAGGTACAATCCACTATCACGAGCATACTAAAGAACCACAACAACCCCATTCGCATTTGGATCAGAAAATGTTCATGGAAGCACAATAGCCCACCGCTTTCACGACCCCGTTCTGGTATCTTCCTCTTCAAAACTCTCTCATTATTTAAAAAAGCTCAAGAGTGAGAACCACTCAACACGTACAGAGCAGTTCATGCACCAAGTTAGTTGTGAGAAACGAGGAATTGGGCATGAGGAAACTAAAATTGAAGAAATTTGAAACTTCATACCAATCAAGTTGTAGACCCAAGTTCACAATAACGAAGCTTAATCGGAATCGGAACAGCGGCATTGATTAGCGCACCTGAGACAACCACTCGGAGAAGGTCTTGCCATTTGATCCGCTTTTGCAGTTAGGAGACACAGTGAAGAGATCAATGTCCAGAGACTTGGAGAAAGGGCCCACTTGAAACTCAATCGAGTCAGATCTGGCCACAATTCCAGTCACACACAGCCAGAACCAACCCTCACGAGCCTGAATTCCGTCAAGTCCTTGGATCTTTCCGAAGCTCAATGTACCTGTGATCGAATTGGAGTAGTACACATCATCCTCAATTTTGGCGTAGCAAGGCGCGTCGAGTTTCACTTCGAACTTCCCGTTGTCGGCCAACGTGTAACTCTTCACCGTCGAAGGCAACAAACCTGCAGGAAGTCCATAGTTCTTCAGAATCTCCGTCACAGTGGCGTCCACCCCTGCTGCCGCTGCCAGCACCCCGACAACCATAGCCACGATCAGCGCCCAATGTCCAGCCATCGCGTCAACCGTCTCCTCCTGCCTCAACCTCCTCGGCTCAGCTCGTCGATCCTCTCTCTCCTCGGTGCGCGTTTTCCGTGTCTATCTTTGTCACTTTATTACAAAGCCCTCGCACGCTCCCTCCCTCTCTCCCTCACTCAATCTCTCACCTCCTTCACCTTTTCTCTCCCTCCCTTGACCTGCCGTCCTCGCTCTTATACGTGTCAGGGCAGAGCATCAACTGCAGACCCCTCGAGCTTTACACTCCTTCTCCGGAAGATTCGCCTCCCGTCAAGCACTCCAGCACCACAAACAAAGCGGGCTTCCCTAAACAAAGGCCTCTCTCTTCTCTGTAGTTTGCATCAGCCCTTCCTCCATTTGTGAAGTCAGCCACCACATGACGCATCTACTAGTCTGCGACAGGGCTCGCTCGATCCCGCGAGACCACGTCCTTTGTTTGAGGGCGAGCGCAACCTTACATCCCCTTGCCTTTGGCATGTACTCCACGGCCGGCGGGGCACGCGATGTTTCGGCCAATGTCTTCTCGGTTTGCGAAATTATTCTTGCTGTTTTGGTGCTAAAAGCGGACGCGGGAGCGGAAGATGTTCGAGTGAGGGATTCTTGAGTTTTGAGATATTTCGTGCATGATGCTAGCAGGAGCCACATTCACGAATTCGGCCGGAATCGTTGGTGAGTGGATGCGTCCCTCATGTTGGCCAGGTTTGTTCTTGGTCGTGGTCATCACCGCCAGTGTTGCATCACGGTAGAAGCGAGGAATTTGATTGTCTTGCTTGATCTCTTATGAGCACTTCGTGAGAATCTTGTAACCCCATCGCCTCTGGGATGTGGAGACAGATATTTGCGAGGGTGTTCCGGATTTGCTCGAATCTTTCTCCCCATCCATGTCCGACCCCGATCATCCTGCACGTCAGTGTACTACTATTGAAATTTGTATCCTTGTACGTTTTGGTGGTACTAGATTGGACTCAATTATCTATAATTTTTTTCATGTTTTCTGTTCATATTCACCCACGCACTAGCTCGAAGATCTCCTCATGGCTTTCGTTGACGTGAAGAGAAACTACTCGAATACTTTCTTCTTTTCATTTATCTATTCCAAAATAATTTGTCGACATTCTTGCACCACATACAAAATGAAAAAAGCAGCCATCGCGATAGAATCGGGGAATTCTTTGTACACTTCATAATTTCCATGAAATTGCCCAACATTTGGCAATCGTAGAGTGGAGTTACAGAGCGAGAATGAATATGACGCGAGTGAATCTCATTATCCGAAGACCAAAGATAAAGTTTGTAGATTTGTATTATCTTCATAAGTACAAGACATTATATTTTTGAATAAAAAATATGTTATATATATATTTTTTGATTTAATAATATATGATGAATAAATCATAACAATTTAATCTATATTAAATTGTTATTAAATAAAAATTTAATATTATTATTAAATTATTATTTAATAATAATTTGTATAGAGGACACATGTTTTGTGATAAATTTTATAAATCCATCTATTTATAATTTTCAAGAATTATTATATGATAAAAGTATGATTATCGAATGTTTGATTAGATATGTTTTTATTAATTTTAAATTATCAAACAAATTTTTAAGAAGAAAATAAAATCAAATTTGATTTTAAAAAACGAAATTTTTAGTTAATTTTTTAATTTATATTGATTCAATATAATTTACATTTAACATATATAAAATATATTTAAATTATTTTGGGGAAAAAATTAAACTAATATTATAAAATATATATACATCGAAAATATAGTAAATTACAGTACCATTATATAAAAGATATACTTGGTTGAACTTTTATTTATGATCTTCTAGTGCATAAACATTGTACATTGCAATGTTATAACATCATGTTTGATAATTTTCATATAACAAATTTTGCAATAAATAAGTTAGTGCAATCAATATTGTGGTTAAAATAAAATGATTTGGTTTACTCTACTTGTTATTTTAACACTAAACATGTCCATGAAATGATTAATGTAACATAGTTAGAATGAATACATGTATGAACATAAAGATTTATATTATGGTAAATTGTGACAATTACAAGCAACAATTTATGCTTTTGCAGAAATAAATGATTTATTTTAAAAATTTAAAAATATAAAAAAATCTTGAATATATCTAAATAAAAATCAAATCAAATCTTCAATCCAAATAATTTTTGTTTGATAAATCTAAAAAATATTTTATAATATGCATTTTCATAGAAATTTCATTATACATATATAAACATGATTAAATTAACAAAAAATATAAAAAATAGAATCTGATGAAGATAAAATACAATCAATTTAACATAATATATATTACATGTGGATTATCTTGTTATTTTTGTACATACAAAATAAATGTATTCATTAACAATGACACTATTTGTTGTTCTGAATGCTAATTAATTTTTCTTTTAAATTTTTTACATATTCAATGATTATACTTGAATTTTTTAGTTATTTCATTAATTGAAAACATAACATAATCAATTAGTGTTTTTTTGATGAAAAAATTAGATCATCAATTCACTAATCTGAATTATATATTCTGAATTACATTTAGACTCGTCGGCCACGTAGCACGAGCTGAGCTGGCCAAGGCTCGGGCGGTGCGTCGGGAAGTGATGGGAAATCAGCGCTTGAAATGGCGAGAGACGACAGTAAGCTGCTTTTGCTTTTCCCCGTCGGATTTGCGTTGGATCCTTGCTCGGCAAATTGACCGAGCATTGCTCAATTCTGACAGAGTGGAAACCCGACGGGGCGTCCATCTTGCAACTCCCGCTTACTTCTTCGACATTTCTCGAGCACCCGTTGTTCTTCTAAAAGAATGAATTCGATGGATGGTATAATCTGATTAAATATAATATTCTATAATTTTGTATAATATATACTTCAAAAAACTATATAATCATATTTTATTTAAAAATCAATTAATTACTTTTTCAATGCTTCCATGTATAATTTGATGTAATTGCAATTCTTGAGTGGCATCTACCACATTTAATGAGTGACATTTGTCAAAAGTGCAAGTTGTACACTGATCAGAAGCACAAGGTTTCTTTCTTCAAAGGTTGTGTATAATTCTCGACAGAGTCCATGTGGCAAGCAATCAAGCCATCAAGTCAAATAACTCTTCACTAAATTCTTCCTATACATCGTTTGTAATTGATTTGATTTACTGGTACGTCATCCTCGCAAATTACATGATAACGAGGCCGAGAGAGCGTCCTACCGAACCTAAGCTAATTTTCTCTCCCCTAAAGTTCGTAGAGATCGATACCGAAGAGGCCGTCCACTATTAGTAGTAGGATATACTCATGAAAACATTGCTCGCTTCACGTTAGTTTCATCAATGTGCCTTGCATATGATTCGTCATCAGAATTGGCAAGCACTCGAACCTCAGTTAAAGAAACAGAGAAGTGGTAAATTTATACTCTAGTGCGTGTTCTAATCTCTACTCCGACTCTAATCTACGACAAGAAATTACTTCGTTTTGCTCAACAACATCATGAATTTAATATTATATACCAAATTTAATATTAATTTAATTATAGATAAAATTAATATATGTATATTTCAAATTTAAAAAATTATACTTTATTATGAAATTTATTTATGACTATTTTTATTGATTTAATAATTTATGATAAAAGACCTAATACATTCTAAGTTATTAAATGGACAAAAAATATAAAAATAATAATTTAAAAACGTATGTATCTTCAAATTTCAATTTGAAAAATTCAAAAAATAACTCAATTTCTAAAAATATATATGTATAACAAAAACAGTTATTATTTTTGATAGATTTATCATATTGAAAGTTGTAAAAAAATCTAAATCTTTATTATAGTTATGAATATACATTACATCTTGTTACAAACCAAAATCATACAAAAAAATCTTAATATCATAAAAAAATTATGATAAATTAAAATAATCAATAATAATAATAATATAAATTTATATGGCGCAATAATCAAAAAAATTCATTGGAAAAATTCAAAATACAAGTACACTTTATTATTAACTGACTTAATTGACTTTGCTATATGTTTTAGCTCCTATTTACTTTTGATTAAAAAATGTGGAATCTATTAGTTCTTTGTCAAAATAATTTATAGATTATGAAATAATTTTTTATATATAAATTAATTTTTTTTATTATTCTCATTTTTAATAAGTATATAATGGAAAAAAAAATACGACTCATTACATCTCATCAACATATCAGTAAATCTAAAATACTCAATTTATAATACTATTTGGTTTGATTTTATAAAAATAAGTTATAAAATTAATTTATATTACTCAATTTTAATTTGATAATGATATTCTATTATATCTAACAACAAATCAAATGAAATATACAATGAAATAGAGCATATGAACATTGGAAAATAAAATTAAACATTTTTTAACAAAATTTATTAAAATATATTTTAAAAATATATTAAAAAATTATTTAAGATAAAATTAAAAGAATATAGAGAAAAGAATTAAAATTTTTTATTATACATAACATTAAATTAAATTTCTAGTTGACATCACATATATTTCTTAAATTAATATTATATATTTCAATTAAAATATCATATTATATATTTTTCTACTTTTATAAAATAATTATTAGTATAATAATTGATAAATAAATAAATATATATATATACTAATTTCCACAATGTGCTTGGCTCAACGATACTATGAAGTCATTGGCTCAAGGCGAGTAGCCTATCTTCAATCTAGCTTTTGGTGGGAATAGATAAGTTTACACTCTTGCTAAGTTATGTGAAATTTTTATAAGACCAAACCTATTTTTCTGAATTTCTTTTTGAGCCCAACTTAAGAATAATTTCCAAGTTCTAAGGAATATCGAGAAACTACAATCTTCTCGCTTTCGTCCACATAGTTTGCAGGTCCCCCGTTGTCAATTTCTTCCCCCATTGAAGCTATTTCACAAGGTAAGTTTTTGTTAGTGCTATCCATACACTCATCGCTGTCAAATTTTTACTTCACAGATTATTTCTATATCGCCTCAACAACCATGTATGTATGTATATGTGTATATATATACACATATAATTATCTTGAAAAATTGTAATTTCCATTTTTTTTGGTTTTTCAATTAATTATGATAAATATTATGCTAAATATTACTCTCTGTGTAGAATCAGCCTGCGAAAAAGATTATTTTTCTTTCTTTGGTTGCGTTTATTCCACATTGAGCGATATTTATAATTTGAATTGCTTAGTTGGTGCAAAAATTGATGTGGAATCTATAGACAATATGACTTAAGGTCATCCTGTTTTGTTGTGCTTCACCAACTAGAGCACTGCAGGTGCAACCAGTAATTACATGTGCAGATTCAAAGAAGTTGTTATTTTCTCCGAAAACATCACTTAATTCAAAATACCCAAGGCATATAATGCTACTCAGCAGGTTAGTAACTCTTAAACTTTTGCAATCAACTAATGACATCGTTTTAGTTTACTTGATTTCTTGTAAGAATTACATTTATGAGATTAGAAAAATGACCAGGGAGCTTCTTATTTGAATGACTTCTGAGAGATTATTTTTCTTTCCCTGTTTTGCTTATAATATCAACAAATTGAGTTGGCTAAACTTGTGTCATCATTGCTTGTCTGAAATGCGGAGCGTACTTGACATACACATTCTTTAGCAGCTCTGTTGCGTCGATACTGTGAGTAGTAAATCCTAAAATGGCACTTGC